AAATGCTATCAACTCAAATAGGTTGGTGGCTAAGGCTTCAACCTCCAAACCTATGAGGACTATTACACTACAAGTATGCAATACAAGGAATAAATGCAATGAACAACTAAAAATAGTCCTAAAATATGTTGGAATTAATACAAAAATAGCTAAAACAATAAGCTACAACATGGAGCAAGTTAAGCTAGTAAACAAGCACAAGGAGGGGAGGCTACCCCCTCTGTTTTTGGGACTTCAAAACATGATTTTAGCCTCTGAAAAACCTCTGAGAATCAGTATTAAAAAGCTCAAAAAAAGTTAACAAAAAGGTGGGAAACAAAAGGGCAAAGGCTTGAGAAGTGAGGGGCAAAGAAGGGTGATCCACCCCTCCACCCTCAATTTCCTTAAACCACAAGTTTCAACAAAAAAATACAGATTATAAACAGCCCAAAAAAATCCAAAAATAATAGGAAAAATATAAAATAAATCAAAGAAATAAGCCAAGACTTATACCTCTTGAAGAGGAGAACCCTTTCTAAGTGACAAACCAACCCTTACACACCCTCAAGAGCTCAAAATAAACTCAAAAGTACCTCAACTCAAATACCACAAGGTTTGGTCTAGAGTGTATAGGCAAAGGCTTAAGAATTTGCAAGAGAGAGAGGGAATTGTAGAGAGAGAGATATATATTTTTGCTTCGAAATTTCCAACCCTAAAAAATGGAAGGGGAGGTCTTCTATTTATAGAAAAACATGAAACTCGCTCATAAAGATCTATACATACACGTGTGGGCAAATGTATGTACCTGTGGAAACAGTTGGCACAACTGGCATAAATATCTGCAAAAATACACAAGTGGCCGGCAGGCCACACAAATGGCCGGCAGCCCACATTGGTGGCTGGCAGGTCCCAGGGTGTTTAGGCTTGAAAAACTGTGGTTTTGGTACAAAACAAGACAAAAGGTGTGTAGGGTTTGAAGGCTCAAAGTTGTGACATTCTGCTGAGGACTTCAGGCACTTGACAAGTATATAGAAATTCATTATTGAGTGCTCAAACGGTGGCGCCCAAGTCGTAAGGGCGGTCAAAAATGGGGTATCTGCAATTGCCTCTCTTTGACAGAACTCGAAGTCATGAAATGACGTGAGTGAATGTCAAGGCCCGAAGACGACCCATTTTGACAAGGTCATAAGACTTGGGCAAACAATCAAGACAATAAATTAAATGGTTGCGCTCGCAAGCTACCTATGTATCCCTTTGCAAGGAATTAAACTAGCATAGTTCAGGGGCAAGATGCAAATGATACACAATGTGACGAAATAATGCAAATGATATGCAGTTCAATACAATAATATAATCAAACCACAAGCAGTGCAAAACACACAAATATTATAAAGAGATGGAGATGCAAATCAAACTACGTTTTATATAGAAAAGAAGTGGACACAGCCAAACGACGCCTAACATAGGCTAAGTGCCTACATCCTCAATACTGGCCTCAGCGCAGTATGGATGCTTACACATAACAAAACCATGTTTTAACGTGAAAGGAGTGTGAGCACATGCAGAACTATGTTTTTTGCAAAAAGAGAGAGAGTACAAATAATTGGGTGGTATGATATAAGTGAGGAATGATCTGCTGAGGAAAGATCATGATCCTAAATGCTGAATGCAACAAGATAAAGTATGATGTAATGAATGCAATGGATGCAGGAAATAAGGGGCGTAGGCCGAACCACATTTTACCTAGAAAAGGCATGGACACAAAACAGATCACGTCTAACACAGAAAAGGTGTTGACATCCTCAATACTAGCCTCGGCGCAGCATGGGTACTTACACATGACAGAACCATGTTTCAACGAGAAAAGTGTATGAGCACATGCCAAACTAAGCTTAATGCGGAAAGGATGCAGGTGATAAAATAGATAATGCAGTAGATGCATGTAATAAATTCTATATGCAATGTGATAGAGGTGATGTAATAGACAATAAATGTGATGTAGTAGCTAGGAAGTGAAAGTACCTTACAGGGGAAATTGGCGATGACTCACCTTATGCTGCCACTACAACAAAAGTAACCTATGGTGACGAAAACTAGTGAAGAAAATAAAATTCGTCACTAAATGAAAATAATTCGTGAGGAATTTATAAATTTTGTCACATATAATAAAAAAATAAAAATGATTGGTGACAAAATTTATTTTCGTCAATAAATACTTCATTTTAAGTGAGGAAAAATTTAGTTTCGTCACTAAAAATTTTCCCGCTATTTTTTTTGGGTGGCGCCAAAATTTTGAGACTTTTGGTGACAAAAAAATTTGTCACTAATTATAAAATTATTTGTGATGAATATATTTTCGTCACCAAAACATTTTAATATTTCTGATATCTTTTGGTGAGGAAATAATATTGTCACCAATTTTGGTGAAAATTTTTTGATATATTGAGCAGCAATAAAAAAAAAAGGATATTAATTTTTTTTACCCTTTTTCTGTTTATCATCTCTCTCTCTCAAAATAGGGTATTAATTTTTCTTACCTCTTGCTCCTCCACTACGCCGATTGCCATCGTTGCCTCTATTAGTCTTGCCGATCGCCACCGCCAGTAGTAGCCTTGCCGGTAACCGTCACATCTTCTTCGCTCGATGATTTGGTACATGGTTTCTCTTTGCTCTTTTTCTGGTGTCACTTTCTCTTATTCTCTGTTTTGGTATGGTGACGAAAATTAGTGAAGAAAACAAATTTCGTCACTAAATAAGAATAATCCATGAGGAATTATAAATATTGTCACGTATAATAAAAAAAGAAAAATAATAGGTGACGAAATTTATTTCCGTCAATAAATACTTACTTTTAGGTGAGAAAAAAAATAAGTTTCCTCACCAAAAATTTTGAAAGTTTTGGTGAGAATTTTTTTTTTCGACAATTAAAAAATTATTAATGAGGAATCACTACGACAAAAATAGTTAAAGATTACACTTTAACAAAATGAAAATATCTCACTTTTATTAGAAGTGTGATAAAAAAAATTAGATTGATATTTTAATCACACTTAATTTGATTAAGTGTGATAATATTTATTTTTTATGATACTTTTTAATTAAGTGCAATTATATATATATATATATTTTTTATATATATATATATATTTTAATCTCACATTCTAAATAAGTGTGATTATATGTAATTTTTTTAATCACAATTTCTAAATAACTGTGATCAAAAAATTTTGAGGGAAATATTTACCACCTAATTTTATTTTATGTTTAATTTTATTTATTTATTATTTCTCTGATACATACAAAGGAAATACCAATCAACACTGTTTACCCCTCTTTTCCACTCTCTCATTGTCTTGAACCCTAACCCGTCAAACAGAGAGCGGTGAAGGTTGAGCAAAATCAGAGGGCAATGGCGAACGGAGGTTGACGGCGGACTGACGGGGTCTGCGACGACGAGAGGAGGCAGCTGTGAAATCTGGGTGCCTGCGACGAGGTTTGATGAATTAGCCTCTGACCTTCTCTTTCCGTCTCTCTCTCTCTCCCTCCCTCCTAAATCCATTGGATCCCATGTTTCTGAACCGGCGCTCCTCTTCGCGAACACCTTCTGCTTCATTCTCTGGATTTCTGAGGTACTTTCACATTTGGGGTTCTCTTAATTTGTTTGGTTTACTTTCAATCTCTTAAATTGAATGTGATGATCACTAGTCCGAGAGCAATCCGCTTATTGGTTATACACGATAATAGTTAGCTGGCAGAGGTATTGATGGTTCACCTTTATTAATTGATATGAATGAGGGTTTGAATTAAAGGTTGCTGGGTTGATGGTCCTCTGCTTCAGCATTATTGAGGCTGGTTGTCAATTTGTTTAGCATTTGATGCTAGAATTAGATATTAGCTGAATGTAAAGGCTTGAACATATTCAATTAGGAAATAAAAAGGGCTGATGATCTTGAACATACTGTCGTGGGTGACATAATGAGAAAGTTTGACTCATCAAGTAACATAGGAAATGCTGTTCTATATGAGTGCATATGCTGTGCTTCATCCATACATCCCAATACTAAGTTATTAGAGGCTGCAGCAGAAGCAATATCTAAATTTTTGAAGGTTTGCCTTCTGCAACTTGTGTGTGTTGTTTGCTTTTTTTGTCTTTAACTTGTTTTCATGCATTCTTATCTGTTGGACAGAGTGATAGTCACAATCTAAAATATATGGGCATAGATGCCCTAGGTCGGTTGATAAAGATAAGTCCAGAAATCGCTGAACAACACCAACTGGCCGTGATTGATTGCTTAGAGGTGAGAAACATTTTCTCGTATGCATTTGACATCAATATATTCGTGTTGATGGAGCCATCAGAGATGCAGGCTGTGCTCATGTTCTTTGTTTTTCCTCTTTGTTTTTGTGCACACTTGAATGGCTATACCTTTCCATGTTAACCTTATTTTATTGCTTTAACAACTGTGTAGTTAATATATACTTTCTGTCTGTTTTGTGATTAGTTTATCTGTCTTACATGAGCTGTATATGCATTCATGGAATTTTTTAGATCAATATTGCTTTGTCAGGCTGATGTAAACTACTCCTATACTTTGACCTCTGCTGAAGTATTTGTGAAATTTGTCTTATGGTAAGCAACAAAGTATTTGGAATGTAAATGTTTATAGAGCATTAACAAAGTCATCATTGGAGTGATGACACCTAGCACTTCAATGGAAGAGTGAATAATTCCAAAAAGTTTTTCTCGCGTTTAGTTATTTCTGTTGCTTGAGCCAAGACACCTGGAAAGAATACTAACTACAAACAAAAGTCTTGTACAGGCCAAGCAAAAATAAAAATCACGAGGAATTCTTTCGAAAAGGCTCAAAAGCTAATATTCAATGGTCTATGTTTGATGCAATCATAAATGATTATGACCTAAAATAAATTTCTTCTTTTTTTTCCAAAAAAAAAGTTTAACTATTTTTCTTTTTAGTCTCTCTCTTCCTAAGAAAAAATAATATAAAATTTTATCTGTGCCTGTACAACAATATAACTTGTATGAAGTTGTTAATGGTCTTACATAATATCTATTGAGAGTTAGAGGAAATTTCTGACAGATGCAAGTGCATATGGAATAAATTTGGAAAATAAGTCGATTAGATATGTCAAGCAAGACAACTTATTGAATGGAAACCTGTTAGAAATACAGTTGTTACATTTCATTAACTCATGTATCTTGATTTATATGATTGTAGCAATCATGAATGAAATGAGTCCAAGTTGTTTGCAGATTTCTTTTATGTGGTTATTTTTCTTGTATACGTGTGTTCATAAATCTTTGATGGATATCTTATTTTTTGGGGAAATAATATCTGTAAGAAATGAATGCATGCGTACATATGTTGTTAAATGAGATGAAACTAAGTATATTTAGTTTGTTGATGCTTTTAGAAGCTTTTCACATGTCAGTTTTCTGAAGTAACTCATTATCAAGTACCTTTCTGTCATAGGGCTTTGGCAAAAGAACTTTATCATTTGGTAGTCATTTGCTCTGGGGAGCTTTCAGAAGAACCAAGCAACAATCCAATATCTGGACATGATTTACTTGGTTTGCATTGCTTAGTGCTCGATACTTCAATATTTTGGAAGAGGTAATTTTAACATGTTGCAGAAGTTGTGATTATTGGAAGAATTAAAGAAGTTAATGTGTTCTGTAGTCTTGAAGTCGCATTCATTATTCTGTTATTTTTCTTGTTTACCATTCCATTGCTCAGGAATTGGTGCTTCATTTTGTCAGTCTTGCAAAGATTGAGTTCTTAGTATAATTATTTTGACTTGCCTTATTGGTTGTTTGTATCATTGAGAGCTCCTTGGTTCAAATTTTTCTGTACCATTGTGCCGAACAATTATAATTTTTGCATTTTTGTGTATATTATATGCACCATTACACTTTCTGATTATCTATATGTTATTTCCCCTAGATTCATGATAATCTATATGGGAAATTATGGAGCCTATATTCAATCTACTAGGTAGGCTTTAATTTTTATATGTTGTGCTTAGTGTTTGAAATCATGTCTTTGTCAAATACCACAAGAGTACGAATTGCTTTAGTTGATATAAAGACCCTTCGTGTTTTTTAACTGGAACACATTTGAGATGGCGAAAGATCAACAAGGTTTTATATACTTTTAAACTTCTTAGTAATAACTGTTTATGTCATCTACTCTATATAAAAAAAAAAAATCAATATGATTAAAAGTAGATTTATTTTTTAATGCATTTTTGCATGAGCGCCATTCCTTGAACTCTTTTAGATGTAGATTTTCCCTATTATTTACTGTTCTATGGACTTGATTGAGTTATTAGAATTTTTTTTTTTTTTTTGGTAAACTAGTTATTAGACTTCAAGTGACCAAGCAGTGTAAGAATATTGAGATCAATGCTAACTCAAGAATGGCTATTTTAATTTTTTTAAAATATATATTGGGGGCTAGGGCACCCCTGAAACTTTATCTATGCCTCAATTATGCTTTTCTATGCATGTTGCACACTTATGTGTGTGCACAAGTGTAATGTTGGTTAAGTCTAAAAGTTGTTTAGTGTTACATGAATGTAAAAGCTGGCGTGAAAATTCTTGAATGATGTGGCTAGGTATCATTATATTTGCTTCATTATTGATGTCACTGCAGGTTGTGAAGTTTACAACCTTGGAACTAGAAAAGGAACATCAGTTTTGGAAATGGTAACAGCATTCGAAAATGTTATAATTTTCTTTTCGTGTTTGTTCCAGATAATTCCCCTGATGTTTGCTGGGCGGCGACCTGGTGATGCTGAGGTTGTGTATGCATCAGGAGATAAAGCAGAACATCAGTTGATCTGGGAGTAAGTGTTATCCCCCTTGCAAACCACTATGTTGATAATTACTCTGTAATTTGGCTTCTCATGAATGATTCAAGAAGTTTGCTTTGAGGAATTTTCATCTGGATTTGTGGTGACATTAAAAGATTCTAATATACTGCTCAAAGGAGTAAAATTTTAAAATGGCAGCCAGTGGAAATATAACTATATTTGTAATGACCGACTCAGCGAAGCTGCCCATCAGTTCCAAATATTTTTTATATTATTGGTTTTACTTATGTCAAATAGAATATTGAAATATAGAAGTTAGAGAAAAGATGAGAGCATCTGCAATGGAGTGGCTAAAAATGTGTTTTATTGAGAATCTGTTTGACGTGGTTGTGATTCATGTGATGATTGTCAACACTTATACTATCCTCCTTGTGGCAGGTCCTGATGAACTTAACGAATGACAACCCTGTCGGCTGTCAGCGAACTTTGCAACACATTAACTTAAAGAAAACTTGACATAAAACTTACTTGACTAAAATCTTAATTCCATTAGGTTCCATGTGGCACTAATATGTAATTCAGAATTTGCACATCAACAGTTAACAGGCTTTGCATAATCAAGTGAAAAACTTTTTCCTTGGTAGATATTGACCTCATCTCAAGATTTATAAATGACATTACTGTACTTTTATATATTATCATTACATTTTTTATTTGATAATTGTTTATCTATTATCATTACATGACTTTTGTCTGTGGTAAACTGACTATCACTATATGATTTCAATGCAACAAACTCATCTCTTGTTACAGGGACAAATTGTTTTATGTGGTTTAAGAAATGGAGCAATTTGTTTTCTACATGTTCATGTCTTGGAATAATTATCAATTTTTAAATGGAGATGACAATTGTCTTCTGGCTATTAATTTGAGGTGCGTGTAAACTAATCCGAACATCGGTCATAAAAAAAAATATATATATATATTGGCTTTATTATGTGATAATGCTAGGATAGCACTCTAAAACTAAAGAGTCAAAAAAATCATGAGCATGTTTATAAATAAAAAATAAAAAATCACAATGATTCCTTACTAAAGACGATTTGATCAAGGCTTTTGTTGGGTACAAATTCATAAACAAGAAGGCATTGAGGGGCTTCAATGGTATAACCCAAAGGTCTTACAAGATTCTTGTGTTAAATTCCACTGATCAAATTTACCTTATTGAAGAAGTCATCGGCCCATTGTCGTGAATCAAATGTACCTCAATGCTACGTTATATTTTGGAGCTATTATATATATATATATATATATTTTTCCATTAGTGATAGTGATATATAGTATTTCTGTAATCTTTTGGCATCTTATGTTATCTGTGTTGCTTTATCATCAAGGATCACCTCAACTCTTTGAAGTTTTGGTTTGTTAGATGCATTTCTACTAAATTGGTTTATAAAATAAAATTATTTATATATGAGTTTAGATGTAATTGATAATATATTAATGTTTTCTTTGTTTATTTTCTTTGCAGATTGGTTTTAATGACGTTCGGAAGTTTATTTGCAAATGAAGATCAACTGTTGAATTTTGTTTCCTGAACGAATACTTAGTTGTAGTTGCAAATCGAGATTGAGTGTTGATTTTTTTTGTGGATTCCACGTTAGTTCATTTTGGGATTTGCTTACACTTAATGGTTTATATTATTGAAGTTGTTTGATGGATATATTTTGATTTATAATATAAATTGTTTACTGAATTTTTTTGTGGAGTGATGTATAATAGCTAATGGATTTCTTAGTACAATTAAAAGGCTATTGGACTATGAGCAGGGATATTTGTGAAATAATAATTGAAATTAAAATATAAAATAAGGAACAGGTTTAGTGACGAATTTGTTTCGTCATTTGTATTTGTTATTATGACAAAGTGATTATTCTTCATTAATAAACATTTTTTGTGACAAAATTTATTGCAGCGCATATATGAAAGTTTTCATTGATTTTGTTGTTTGGTGACGAAATGTATTTCGTCATGTATATAAATATATTTGCGAGGAAATATATTTCGTCACCCATGTATGACTTTTGGAGACGAAAAATTTCGTCACCTTTACATCTTACCGTGACAAAATTATTTCCTCATCAATGATCAACATTTGTGACAAATTTATTCGTCAACTAAAATTATAAATATGGTACTGAATAATTATTTGGTGATGAAAATGAGAATTTTTGGTGACAAAATCTTGTTTTATTGGTGACAAAAAATTTCGTCACTGAACTAATTTCATTAGTGACGAAATTATTTTTCGTCACGATGGTTTTTAGTGACAAACATTCAATGACGAAACTTGTGACGAAAATATTTCGTCACAAATATCTATAGTGACGAAATTAGCTCTTTCGAGACAAAAAAATTTCGTCATTCAAAACCCAACTTGTTGTAGTGCTTTTATACATATTCATAAAGACATTAAGTCCATATTTCCATTTCACTTTCCTTCAATTCATTTCAATACATGAGCCAATTTCATCCTTTCTCAATAACCCAAATGAGACTACAACTCAATGACTCAACAATTTCACAATTAACACACAAACGCTTCAAACTGCCATTTTAT